CGACCAGGGGGACGCCCCCCCCCACCCCCCTTGCCCTGCCGAATAACCTTGCCGCCGCTGATCACAGGAGTCCTGCAAACTCCGGGCCGAGGGGTTCAGAGGGTTAAGGAGCTGCGGATTTGGAGGGGGAACCAGCACTTGTAGCCCACAATAAACGGGAAGGCGGGGGGGTCAGGGGGTCGCTGTTAGGAGCTCTGGGAAGCGAAGGGAGCAACACTCCCTGTTAATGAGGAGCAGACCCGGCCCCAGCGCCTTGATTAGAGCCGCCCAGAGCCCAGGCTGGACTCTGGGCAATCCGAGACCCCCCCAACTTAAAAAGGGAGAGCAGACCCACACCGCGAGAGGGGTTTGGGGCAGGAGGGTCTCCATGGGGAGAATTCACTGCTGCACATTGCAGGCATCTTGAGCAGCTCAGGACAGGATGGGGGGGAGGAAGGGGGTCCCTTCTCAAGATGGGTCTGGGTTGCAATGGGGCAGGCGAGCCTTTCCATCTGAGCATGGAGGGGGGAGAATGAAACTGGGAGGAGAACTGGGAACTGAGATGGCTATTCTGCCCCCCGAGATCTGGAAGGCAGGATTCGTGCCACATACTCAGTTTCAATCTTTCATCAAAGCAGAGCAGCACCCAGACAGGAGCGTGATGCACACAGCAAAACTTTTAAGCCAGGAGAGAAAAAAACCCTCACCTACTTTTCAAACCAACCCCATCGGGTTACGTTGTGTGAATACAGCTGCCCCGCCTGACCTGGTTCTGGAAAGCCACCCTGGGGTCTTTTCCAAAGGCCTGGCCTAGGTGGCTTTTCAAAGAAAAAAAAAGTGACTCCAGGATCTAGCTTAAATGGAGCCTCCCTGGGTAGCAGAAGTATACCTCTGAGAAGGAGGGGGGGCAAGTAGCAAGGAGTAGGAAGGCTGCCTGCAGAGGCTTTTGGCAAACCAAGCGGGGACCTGGTCTCTTCAGACACGGTGTGACCGGACATGATCAGCATGATCATGATCAGATGAGATCATGATCAGATGTACCCCCAGCTTGGAAGTCAGATCTCAGACATGGCTAGGAGGCGCCTCTTCCTCTTCAGTTTCCCCTCCTCTCCTGCATATCCCCCTGCCCCAAAAAACCCCTCTGCTCTACAAATCTTCCAACAACAAGCCCCATAGCCTGGGGGTGCATGAAAAATGCAGGACAATCGCTCCCAGGGATGGAAAGTGCTTCACTGCATTAGCAGTGCTTGGAGGGGGGGAAAAAATGAGAAAGCCAGGTTGGGGTGGGAGATAGCAGGAGGACCCACCACGTCTTCTTCATTACCAGCTCACTGTCAGGGGTGATTCATTTCCAAGCCCCCGACCCTTTTCTTTTCAACTTATGAATGTTGCAAGTATGGAGGTGCTCTGGGTGTGCATGTGCGTGTGTGTGAGCAGTCCTGGCAGGCAGACATCAAGAAGGGAAAGGATTTGGCTTCCCTATAATGATGAATCCCTTTCCTTTTCTGGAGAAAGTCAGAAAGTAAAGGTTGGGCTTCCAGACGTAGCATTGTTTCCTCCCTATCGCTGCTGCCTTTTGGGGGACAAGGGGGTGCTGCTGTTCAGTGGCAGAGAATCTCTGGACTTTTCTGAAAGTTTCTATATTCAGGGGTCTAAAATTCTGGGAAAGTGCAGCAGGTCAATGCAGGGAATAGGCGACAACAGGGTTTCTCAACCTTGGCCGCTTGAAGATGTGTGGACTTCAACTCCCAG